TTTTGATAATGGGGGGAAATACATAGATTTTGGGTTAGGGCAATATTTTTCTGCTTATGGCATTATCCATCAGACTTCTTGCACCAATACCCCTTAACAAAATAGGGTGGCGGAACGCAAGAATCGTCATCTTCTTGACATGACTCGGTGCATGTGTTTTTCTATAAGAATGCCTCGGTCCTACTGGGGTGACCCTGTTCTCACCATTGCCCATCTTATTAATCGTCTCCCTACTCACCTCTTACAAAAACAGCTCTCCTTCAAGTCCTTCTAGGTTTTGAGTCCTTGTTTTCTATTCCTCCCAAATATTTTGGGCTGTGTCTGTTTTGTCCGCAATCACTCTCCTACTCGTGGTAAGTTGGACTCTCGCTCCCTCAAATGTGTTTTCCTTGAGTATTCTCCTACTTAAAAGGAATATAAGTGTTACCACTCTCCTTCTCGTAAGTGGTTTGTGTCCATGGATGTCACATTCTTTGAGTCCCACTCCTATTTCTTGTCCTCTTCGGTGTCACAGTCCTCTCTTCAGGGGGAGCCTTGGTATGAAGTGATTCCTGTGATTCCTATGGTGGAATCAGTTGTTCTTGCACCACCACCTCCTACTGAGACTGCAGAATCCAATGTCACCAAGGATAGGGAAGGGTAAGTTTTTATCGGGGACAAAGACAGACAGAAAGTTAACTGGATATAAGAGACCACTTCTGCTCCTCCACTGCCATCTCCTGCTTCTGATGAGAGTTCAGGTAATTTTGAATCTCTTGAGTCTATTGATCTTGATGTTCCTATTGCCAAGAGAAAGGGTGTGAGGTCTTGTACCCAACATCCTATCTCAAATTTTGTGTCCTACTCTCATTTCTTGTCCTCATATAGAGCGTTTGTGTCCAATATTTCTTCTATTAGCATTCCTAACTATTTTCAAGATGCTTTTGCTACCTCTGAGTGGAAACTTGCCATGATTGAGGAAATGAAAGCACTTAGGAAGAATGGTACTTGGGAATTGACTGAGTTACCTAAGGGCAAACGACCTGTGGGATGCAAATGGGTGTATACTGTGAAACATAAAAGGATAGGGAAGGGTAAGTTTTTATCGGGGACAAAGACAGACAGAAAGTTAGCTGGATATAAGAGACTACTTCTGCTCCTCCACTGCCATCTCTTGCTTCTGATGAGAGTTCAGGTAACTTTGAATCTCTTGAGTCTATTGATCTTGATGTTCCTATTGCCAAGAGAAAGGGTGTGAGGTCTTGTACCCAACATCCTATCTCAAATTTTGTGTCCTACTCTCATTTCTTGTCCTCATGTAGAGCGTTTGTGTCCAATATTTCCTCTATTAGCATTCCTAACTATTTTCAAGAATCAAGATGCTTTTGCTACCTTTGAGTGGAAACTTGCCATGATTGAGGAAATGAAAGCACTTAGGAAGAATGGTACTTGGGAATTGATTGAGTTACCTAAGGGCAAATGACCTGTGGGATGCAAATGGGTGTATACTGTGAAACACAAAGCGGACGGTTCTATTGAGTGTTACAAGGCTAGACTTGTGGCAAAAAGGTTTACTTAAACGCATGGCATTAACTATCAGGAAGCCTTTGCACTTGTGGCTAAGATGAATTCATTCAGAGTGCTTCTCTCTTTAGCAGCTAATCTAGATTGGCCACTTCATCAGTTTGATGTAAAGAATGTCTTTTTCCATGGTGACCTTGAAGAAGAGGTATATATGGACATTGCTCTTGGTTTTGAGGATTATTAGACAGAAGGCAAAGTATGTAGGTTTTGGAAGTCATTATATGGTCTCAAGCAGTCTCCGAGAGCTTGGTTTGAGAGATTCACTTAGGCTATGCTTAAATATGGCTTCAAATAGAGTCAGGCAGATCACACATTGCTTGTGAAACATTCCTCACTTGGTAAGACTACAACACTCATTGTTTCACTTGGTAAGACTACAACACTCATTGTTTATGTAGATGACATAGTTCTTACGGGTAATGATAGTGAGGAAATTTGAAATTCCTCTGTTGAAAAAATATTTAGCCAATGAGTTTGAAATTAAAGACTTGGGGAGATTGAAGTATTTTCTAGGAATTGAAGTTGCTCACTCCAAGAATGGGATATTTGTCTCACAGAGGAAGTATGTGCTTGATCTGTTGAAGGAAATTGGGATGCTTGGCTGCAAGGCCTGTAACACTCTACTGGAACCCAATCAAAAACTGGGAGATAATGAAGGAGTAGCTGTTGACAGGGGGAGCTATTAGCGATTAGTGGATGAACTCATTTACCTATCCCACTCTCCTCCTGATATTGCTATTGCTGTCAGTGTGGTTAGCCAGTTTATGCATGCTCCTCATCAGATTCACTTCAAGACTGTTATGAGAATTTTGAGATACTTGAAGTCTGCCCCTGGTAAGGGTCTTTATTGGTCAAGGTATAATCATCTTCGTGTGGAAGCTTATACAGATGTTGACTGGGCTAGATCAGTGACTGATAGGAGATCGATTTCAGGGTATTGTACCTTTGTTGGAGGCAACCTAGTTACTTGGAGGAGTAAGAAACAGAATGTGGTTGCCAGGTCAAGTGCAGAAGCTGAGTTTAGAGCTATGAAACAAGGGGTGTGTGAGCTCTCATGGATCAAGTTATTGTTAAGTGATTTAGGTATTGATCAAATGGACTCCATGTGGTTATACTATGATAATAAGGCCGCTATCAACATCGCTCACAATTCGGTTCAACATGATAGGACAAAACATGTTGACGTTGATCGCCACTTCATTAAGGACAAACTCACTAGTGGCACAATACATACTCCCTTTGTGTAGTCTGGTGAACAACTTGCTGACACCCTCAAGAAGGGAGTTGGGAGTAAGCCATTTCATGACATCTTAGGCAAGTTGGGCATGAGAGGTATCTTCGCACCAGCTTAAGGGTGAGTGTTAGAATAATATGTGATTATTTGGGTTATTATTTTGTAATTATTTTATATCTTAGGGCTTCCTTATAATTATTAATCTTCATTAATATAAATAGGGGATGATATCCTAATCATATCCTAATATTTGTAGTCTCTAAATTTATCAAAACCATCGAAGTAATTTCATCTCCAACGGTCCAAAGATGAAAGTCTTTGTAATATTCTGAATCATTCATGAACATCACGGCAAATATGATTAAAACATTTATAGCTCCTACATAAATAAGGAGCTGCGCAGCAGCTACAAAATGGGAGTTCGATAGAAAATACAAGAAGGATATACAAACAAAAACCAATCCCAATGAAAAAAAACAATCTCAATTGGGATTCACCAATTGTGATTGTCAAAAAACCACGAGCCAAGAGGCTAAAGCAAATACACTATGAGAAATGAAGAAGATTACAAGAAGTCATCTCACCAAGTCTACCTTCTAGTGAGTCCACACTTGATTGACCTTGAGACTCTTATCAATCTTCACTACCCATTCTCCTCTTGAATTTGCAACTTGTTGATGTTAAATCCACTATCACCAACTAGATCCGGATTCTAGTTGGCGAGAAGAGATATCATCATAACCCCTTGTTGTGTACAATCAAATCCTAGAGATGTAAGGAAATCTCTATGAATTAACAAGGGGAAACAAGGAAATCACTCATGGATGTTATACTCTATTTTTCTGTGAATTCCAGAGAGAAAACCAGATGAGTTAAAAAACAGATATGAAGTTTTTTTTTTTTATTATTTATTTATTAAATAAACAAGTATTATTAAGAAAGAATTAAGATAATTCAACAAATACAAAACGACATCCCCAATTAGGGGAAACCAAAAACAAACTACCTAATCACTTAAGTTAGAAAATCTAAAAAAACAAACATGTCTGGATCAACCTTCCTCTAAGAAACATCTCCGACCCCATCAAACGACCAACTATACATCTAAGAAGATTTTCTAACCAAACAACCCCATGAGAAACCTCTAAGAAGGTACATCTATTATGCTCCAACCAAACAAGCTACATCAAACAAAACGGCGCCATCAACCACACCCACTGGAGCTGGTGCACCGGTGCCCAATCTGGACACCCTGCCAAACCCAAAGCATATCCAACACCCACTTCAGTTGGACCCAAGCAATCCCAAAGAGAAAGCAAATAAAACCCCACAACTTTGAAGCCACCAGACTATGAAGAAACAAATGCAACACCGGTTCACTTAAAAACAGATGAAGTTCTGAGGTAGTTATAACAAAATCTGTTCGAAGAGACCGCTCGAGCACAATTTTGGTTGTTTGAGCGGTGAATCACTGCTTGTAGTAAAATGAGATCTCCAACAAAATCCTGTGAAGATCCAAACTTTGCTCGAGTGCACTTTTTATGGCTCGAGAGCGCTAATTACACCCTTGCAGTATCTCTAAGGAACAGATTGAGATCTTGCGAAGACTAAAACTTTGCTCGAGCGCACCTTTCGTCGTCGAGCGGTGAAATTACCCTTGCAGTATTTCTGAGGCAGAGACTGAGATCCTGGTGAGGCATTCAAGTTCGCTCGAGCGACACTTTTTTCGCTCAAAGCGATTAGATATAAAACTCATCCTTCACTAAGGTATCATCAGGACAATCCTTGAGAGCTGAGAACTAAGAAGGATCAATCAAGATAGGATTCTCACTAAAACTCTCTACAAAACCTCACAACAATACATAAGAAAAGAACAAACACCAAGCTAAGTGTTTGTCACTCAGGATTGCCAAAACAAAGGACCTAACAATGGGAAAATCTATTCAAGGGAAATTACTATTGTTGCACCTTATCTGTAGGTGTCCCTTTGTGCAAACACATTCTACTCACAAGAGAAGGAAATCTGTTAACAGTACATTTCTTTTTTACTCCTTTAAGTTTGTGGATTTTTGATATACCTTCGTCTTTTTGCCCTTTTGACGTAACTTGAAGTTAGCAGAAACTTGAACCCATAGGTCATCACCATTCTTTGTTTTTATTCTAATATTGGTTCCTTCTTTTTAACATATGTTATCACAAACAGGGCGAAACTGCTGATGGAGATGAAGAGGACTGGTGGATGGCAGTCGAAAGGACCGCATCCCAGGCTGAACTAAATGTGGGATTGGTACAATCCTGATATTGATACATGAGCAATGTGAAATGCCAGTCTGTAGAATTCATGTAAATAATTCTTTATATGGTCTTTGTATATATGTAACCTGACCTTTGTTGGTCTGTATTATTGGAAAATATAGTGCTGTATATTTGAAAATGCTTTGTGCACAAGAGAGATTAAGAGATGATTGTGGTTTCAATTGATGCTTACAGCTCAGGTGAGTTGGTCAACCATATATCTAGAAAGCTAGCTCCGCTACGAGGTGCTGTTAACATTACCTAAAATACAAAGAGAGTACGCTTGTGTTTTTATAATTCGGAATTTAGAAGAGAATTATGAAATGAAAAGAAATGGTAATGGTAAAGAGAATGTGATATAAGTTAGTTTCTTATTTCATAAATTACGTTAATCTTTTCTTTTGTTTTGTTTTATCCTAAACACATTATGTACAAATCTAAAATCTAAACACGAGCCACGCTATAGCATCTGAATAGCTTTTTTGAAATTATATTATTTGGGATCATTGTATTTACTGTGCTTTTCCTTTCTCTCTTACTGTTCTGTGATGAGAATTGAGAATCCACTCTTAAAACCCTCCACCATCCTCATAAAATTTCATCCACAATGGCAGCCACAATTAATCTCTTCTCTAAAACACACTCACCCTTAGTCTTTGCTCCAATCAAATCCCGTCAATCTCTATAGAATCTTGAAATAGACTGAACTTTGACGAAAATGATGGTTTCAATGTTAGGATTTATGCATATATACTCTCTGAGTGAGTGAGGGAGAGTGAGCAGGGATGATGGACCGTGAGGCTGCAAAGTCAACTGTCACTCCAAAGTTGTTGGTTTGGGATGTTCTAAAAAAGTATACTTTTTGACTTATTGACTTATCTGAGTTGGGTTTGGGTTGAGTTTGATGTGATGTGTTAAAGAGGTAATGTGATTTAAATAAGATGATGTGACTTAAATAGGATCGTCGCTTTTTGACTTTTTATATTATTTAGGAGTTATCTGTGATGACCTAAATAAGTGTATTTTTTGTCTTTTTACGAAAAGATGTGCAAAAAAGTAGAGAGGTGATGTGATGTGATGGAAAAAAGATAAAAAGATAAAAAGAAGAATTATTTTGCAATTGCCAAACTTGATCTTAATTTATGCCAAACTAACCTATTAAATATAATAGTATTAGTTATCAATGTTGCCCCTCCAAGATTTTTTTTGAGAAATTTTAGTACCTGCCCTCCCAAGATATCTTTAACTCAGTTTGCATTTTCAAGTTTCAATTTTTGTTTTTCAACTCCAGGTATTTTCCTCTCTCTCTCTATCTCTTCTTCTTCTTTATTTTGGTTCTCCTTTTTTTTTTTGTGTTTCTTTTGCCTTGATTTTTTCCTTTCTCTTTCTTGTTATTTCAATTCAATCTCCATCTCTATTTCAAAACTTCTTCTGCTTTCAATTCTTTCTCTTCTTATTCTTTTGTTTCAATTCTCTCTTTCTTCTTCTTCATTGAGATCTTAAATTTGATGGAAGTCATGCTCGTCATCAAAGCGATCACATTAACATTGAGCATTATTTTTGAGTTAATATTTTTACAGTTACATGAGATGCTCAATTACAAGAATTAAAAAATTGATTTAAGAAGGATATGATATAGTTGTTTGTTCTTGGTTATGTTTTAGATTTTAAGAATGATTATATGTATTTCAAAATTTAAGATATTTGCAAGTTTGCATATAAATTTAATTTTAAATTTTAGTTATAAAATTAGACATTCCAAGTTTCAAAAATTGCTAACAATATTTGAGTTGTGTCAAAGTGTTTGTGAAAATAAGAAAGTCGACAATTTATCCTCTTGTCAATAGATTGATTCATATTCTTTTAATTTTACATGTTTCTATGGCGACAACAAAATGCATATTTTGGCAACAAAAATTATACAAACTAAACTTTGCAAACACTTACTTTTTTTATTATATATACGTTCACCTTTGTAAAATTAAAATCCTGTGTCAATCAAACATGCCTAAGCTTTTATTGTTTGTTTTGCTCATATTACTTTCTACTTGATTGATAAAATTCTAACTTTCTGACAGTGAGCTAAAGACACTAGCTCCTGCAAGAGAGAGGTTGGGGGGGAAGAGAAAAAACAAAGTGAGGAGCGTCTGATCAGAGGTGGTGCTATATACAAGATTATGGTATCAGTTGATTCATCAACCTTTAGAAAATTAATAATTTTTTAATATTAACGTTTGTTAAAAATAATTGATAAAATTTTTGCATTCATTATTTATAATATTGACTCCAGTGATTCAATAAAAAAGGAAAGAACCCTGCTGGTTAAAAAACAAAGACAATGGAGTCACCATTGCAATTACATGGCTCAAATAATTTTATATTGTACGTGTGTAAGTATATATGTATATATATATATATATATATATATATATATATATATATTATTAGCAATTTACATTTGTTATACATTTTGTAAAAACAAATTAAAGTTGAAAACCTTGAATTTATTAGTTTTTTTTTATACATTTGAATATGCGCTCAACACTACTAATTTTTTGTGATAGCAACACATCCATTATTTTTTGTTGACTTTTTATTTTAGTATGAATGAATAAATGTTGCTTTTCTTGTAAGAATTCATATGTTATTGCTTTTATTAGTTCAACCAAGAACACATTTGATCCTATTGATAATGAGATACTTTATTTGAAGGGTTGGGCTTCCATTTAGTTCGTGATCGGACTGGAGGGTACTGTTGGGCCCATGAGGGCTCACCACAAGTCTTGTTTCGATAATTCGAACCGTTTAAGGTGTAGAACTTGTCAAGTACTATATGCCTGTAAAAAATCAAGTTGATTAGATATCGATAGCTATCTCATCGGATTAGATTTTTGTCAATCGTTTATTTTTTCACCATTCATTTTTTTTTATACAAAATTGATTTGATCACGTAATTATCGATATCCGATCTACGTGATGTTTTTACAGACATATAGTACTCGATGAGTTCTACACATTGAACGGTTCAGATAAGTTGAAAACCTTGAATTTATTAGTTTTTTTTTATACATTTGAATATGCGCTCAACACTACTAATTTTTTGTGATAGCAACACATCCATTATTTTTTGTTGACTTTTTATTTTAGTATGAATGAATAAATGTTGCTTTTCTTGTAAGAATTCATATGTTATTGCTTTTATTAGTTCAACCAAGAACACATTTGATCCTATTGATAATGAGATACTTTATTTGAAGGGTTGGGCTTTCATTCAGTTCGTGATCGGATTGGAGGGTACTGTTGGGCCCGTGAGAGCCCACCACAGGTCTTGTTTCGATAATTTGAACCGTTTAAGGTATAGAACTTGTCAAGTACTATATGTCTGTAAAAAATCAAGTTGATTGGATATCGATAGCTATCTCATCGGATTAGATTTTTGTCAAACGTTTATTTTTTCACCATTCATTTTTTTTATACAAAATTGATTTGATCACGTAATTATCGAGATCCGATCTACGTGATGTTTTTACAGACATATATAGTACTCGATGAGTTCTACACATTGAATGGTTCAGATTATTGAAGTGGTGGGCTCCCACGGACCCAACAGTACTCTTCAATCTGATCACAAACTGAAAAAAGCCAGCCCCTTATTTAAATTAGGACTCAGAATTGTATTATAAACATTTCAATTTATTGGGTAACAATTCCAAATTATGAACTTTGTTGAGGAGAATTGTAAAAATACGTGTGGGTTTTTTTGTCATTAACTATGTCAACATATTAAGATTGCCTTTTCATTTATTATTTAAAAATTAGTAAGATTTTTTTCATGATTTCAACAAACAATAAACAAATTTGGAACCACGGTAACTTTGAGTAATTATTAGAGAGATTATGTATGAGTTGGAAACCAGTCGTCCAACTTATTTACAAGTAATTATTTATTACTAATAGTTGATTATGCCATGTATAGAATAAAATAATATGATTCAAAATGTACAAACAATTTAATAAAACTTATTAAGAAAAAAAATTATTATCGACTAATATTTATTTTTTCTACACAATCACTCAAGAAATTCTTAAATTGTGTTTGCATCTGAAATTTGTAGAGAAAAAATAAAAAAAGTGAACAAAATGAACTTGTATTTCATGCACAAATCTATTTAAATTATCTTTTACATAAATCCAAAATTTTATGATTATTCTTTTTGTACAAATTCAAAATTCAAAAGTCAAACTGATTTTTCAACAAAATCCACATCAATGAGTGTAATATGGATTCTAAAGAACTGGACATTTCAATGGAGATAATGAAGTTGTACAGTAGTTTCAACTTTTAATGGAAGGTTTGAATTTTAACTCCAAAAGAGTTTGTAGTAAGGTACAATTGTTAATAAGTGTTTTTAAATCAATAATTTTAAGAAAAATATTTGAAACACTTAATTTGTTACTCCTAAAAATCATCTCTACCGATATGTTTGACAAGTGTCAAAATTTTAATTTGTTAAACATTTAATCGTGTGAAGTCTAATCTCAATGCCACATTATTAGAAGTCATTTAGGAATGATTTAAATTTTGACCAAAAAATTATGATTAAATTGTAACAAATAATTCAATTAGACAGTTTAATTGCTTAAAAGAGCTTTTTTCTAGTAGTAATATAAATCACGGTATCATATCAATCTTTAACGTGTAATGTGACTTCAAACTAATATATATATATTTTTAATTATTTGTGACATATTGATAAAGAAGCAAAGGAACTAAACAATATATTTTTTAATTAATCAAAAATTAAAAATTTTAATTTGAACTTTTGATGCTTCCGAAACTCATTGATTAAAATTTTAAAAAAAAAAATCAACAAATTTAGTTTGAAGTTTGGAGTTCCTGGAACTCTTCTTCTAAGAGAGTCTTGTGCATACCTTATAATTTTTGTTTTTATTTAGATTGCGTTTGTTTTGACATAAAATATTTTTTTCAAAAATATTTTGTTCATTTTTCGTTATTTGGTTAAACAAAAAGTAAGGAAAATATTTTTGTATCATTTATCTAAAAATGACTTACTTTTAAAAATTTCGTAACTCAATTTTTAAAAAGTTGACTCTCACTCATCACCTTTTCAACACATTTATCATTTTCAAATAAATATCTTAACTCACTAAAAAGTCATAAATGATATTTTATTGAATCAAAATTTCTTTTTTAAGCAATAAAATATTTTGTTTTAAGTGTCAACCAAATACCAAAAACAAAAACAAAAATATTTTTTCTATGTAAAATCAATTTACAAGAAAAATATTTTTTTTTGTGCAAAATATTTTATATCAAAGCAAACAG